TTTTTTTTTTTATTAGAGGCCATCAGCTGTGTGTCTGTATTCTCTGACGTGTTCCATTTAGCAAACGTCCGCACCTGAGTATCCATTTATACAACATTGTAATGCTTTCATCTCTAAAAAGACATGTTTGCTACTTCTCAGTTCAAAATACTTCATATTCCCGTCTGATTTGTAAGAATCTGAAGATTAAAATATTCAAAAGAGTAATTTTGCCTGTTGTTTTGTATGGGTGCGAAACATGGTCTCTCACTCTGATAGAGGAAAACATATTGCAGGTGTTTGAGAACAAGGTGTTGAGGAGAATATTTGGGCTCAGGAGAGAAGACGATGGGGTCTGGAGAATACTGCATAATGATGAGCTTAAAAGTTTGTACTCCTCCCCCAATATTGTCAGGGTGATTAAGTCAAGATGAATGAGATGGACGGGACATGTAGCGCGCATGGATGGGACTAGAGGTGTGCACCGGGTATTAGTTAGTTAGTTAGTTAGCTATAATGATGCAAGGTACAAAAACTTACCATTTTCTTTCAAATAATTGGGCTGGAGATAACTGCACAAAAAAAAGCTTCATAAATTCTACTGTTCACAGAACAATATCAGATAATCAAATCAAAGAGAGGGTGGTGGGTAGGGCATGTAGCATGCATGGGGAAATCTGATGGGAAAGGACCACTTGGACAACACAGGAGTTGATTGGAGGATAATATTAAAATGGATAATAAAAGTGGTTCGAGTATGTGGACTGGAAACGCTACAGTAATGGCAGCATGATGAGATTTACAAAAAGAGAACCATACAGTAATACACCTGCAGCTTCAGTTACAAGGTCAAATAACGCTGTGTAGGTCTGAAATAACTACACCTAAAACGCAGGAACACAGAACACAAGGAAAAGTGGCAATGGAGATCGATACTGAAAACCTGCTGACTGCTTGGGGTATGAAGTGGCAAGAATCAGTATCTTTTTAGATGACACAAAATTAAGCATTTCTGGACTTGTGAATCTTCAGTCTTATTTCCGCAGACACAATAAATCAGGATTCTGAATATGAACTCCATGGATTCCTTCTTGAGAACCAGAAGTTTCTCAGCTATTCAACAAATTCCTCACATTTTATATTGAATTGAATGTAAAATATGCAATTTCATGTTCTTCCTTTCTCCTGCTTGTTACTAGCTGAGAAGATGCTTCAAATTTCATGGCATTCTCTCGCAGTAGATCTTTCAGTGAAGGAAAGGGCTTAGGGTATCTGGACTGTATTTACCACATTGAAAGTTGTGGTTTTCAAATGCTCAAAGAATTATATAAGTATTTTAAAAGAAATACCACTTATGTTTATTGATACAAAACTAATGTCATAATATAAAAACAGACACATGTTTATAAAGTGGACGGAATTCATACCTATGTAAAAACATAGCTACCATGCATTCTGAAAATGTGTTTCTGTTACATTCTCATACAAATGTGCACAGTGCATTGCACTGGATATCACATTATACACATGTACTGAGTAACAGAAGGCAGTCTCCCCCAACCAAGGTTGTTTAAACCAAAGGCACTGTGATCACTTA